AGAGAGCATTCCTTCATCCAGAATCTCTCCAGACCCTTCAGATTCCCAGCTCCATGCTGGTGCTTCTTCTCTTCAGTTCACCACACTCATTTTCTAAAGGGTTCAGGTCAGAGGACTGAGACAGCCATGCAGAAGCTTGGTTTTGTGCTCAGTGACACATTTTTGTGTTGATTTTGATGTTTGTTTTTTATCATTGTCTTGATGAAAGATCCAAACATGGTCCATTATAAGATTTCTTACAGAGGCAGTCAGGTTTAGATTTTTTTTATCTGTTGGTATTTGATAGAATCCATGAATCCATGTATCTGAACAAGACGTCCAGGACCTCCGGCAGAAAAACAGGCCCACAACATTAAAGATCCAGCAGTATATTTAACCGTGGGCATGGGGTACTTCTTATCCCTGTTTGCACCAAACCCATCTGGTGGGTTTGCTGCCCGAAAGCTCTTTTTTATGTTTCATCTGACCATAGAAGCCAGTCCCATTTGAAGTTCCAGTCGTGTCTGACAACTGAATATGCTAGAGTTTGGTTTTGGATGAGCGAGGAGTTTTTACTTAAAACCCATTTGAACAACATGTTGTAATGTAGGGGTGATGTAGGGGCTGTTTGATATTTTTTTAGGCTTTCTGACCCCAAGATTCAACTACTCTCTGCAATTCTCCAGCTGTGATCCTTGGAGAGTCTTTGGCAACTCAAACTCTCCTCCTCACTGTGCATTAGGACGATATAGACAGACACATGTCCTCTTCCAGGCAGATTTGTAACATCTTTAGTTGATTGGAACCTCTTAATTATTGCCCTGATGGTGGAAATAGGGATTTTCAATGCTTTAGCTAGTTTCTTACAGCCACTTTCTATTTTGTGAAGCTCATATGAACACCAGAACTATATTCTTTGGTTTTACTCCTTGTGATAGATGATTAAGGGCATTTTGCATTTGTGTTCCTCATATTTATAATCCTGTGGAACAGGAAGTCATGGCTGGACAATTCCAGTCACCCTGGTGTGCTACAAAATAGAAAAATAGTAAATATGAATGAATATACTTCAGAGACATTTTACTCATAACAATTTCTATCATGCATTGGAGAAAAACATTTATTTCATAATGTGAGTTTCCCCCCACTTTCAATTGTTTTATTTCAATTAAAGTTTAGAATTTTGTGAATTTTTTGAATGAAAGGTCAAAAAGATAAATGATGCAGATTTATTTTAACAGCCGTCTTTGCTCATATTTACCAAGGGTGCCAATATTAGTGGGCGGCACTGTATATATATATATATTTTTTTTAAATTATGATCAAGATGTGTCATGTATTAAAGGAAATGTTTAAACATTATCTTTTTACTTGATGGTTACACCACATTATGTTAATTAAATTTTAAACTTTTCTTGGTATCATTTTTCAAAAGTATATAAAACGGCATCAATAAAAGAGTACAATTGAAGAGTTCCAATGCAAAAGCCTCTAAAAGCCATCTTGGTCAAAAATGAGATAACAATACTGAGTGAATGTTCTCCACACATAGTATATGTTCATCAAGTACTTTCACTTCAAACGTGTTAAATCCCAGCCTCAACCCATTCAGAAGTACCAGTACTTACATAGAAACCTATATAGTTCCTATATAAGAAATTCTCATTTTAAAGAAAAACGTCAGACGTACTTAGAGACTTTTGCATCTGAAGTCTTCAATTCTTACCACAGAACTTAGCATGTGTTTTAAACTATATTCTAAACAAAATTCCTTATCGTGTTCCTATATGTCATTGTCCCTATAATTCTCAGTAAGAGTAAGTGTTCTTTTGTTTGCACATAACACATTCTGACACAATTTTTGTCCCTTTGTCTTTTCCCCAGTCTATATATGAGAGATGGTTTACTAGCCTCTACACATTAACATACAGATCTTCGCCTGTGTCTGGGAATTTGCACTGTCAAAGTAACTTGATTCACAAACCCATTTGATCGACGGCCACAGCATTTACATTAGATGACATGAAGCATCTATGCAAAAATTGAATCAAGAAACTCATCCCAGTGTGGAAATTTGGTTTCTGGTTTCTCCTGTCTTTTCTAGGTTACAAGACCACGTATATTGTAGCATCATTATTTTAGTGTAATTCTTTCTATCCATACTCACCCATGTTTGCTTTCTCACCAAACATATTTTCCTTACAGCTGTCATGAACTTGATGAACATATTTCCCTACCTCTCCATTATTTTGTATAGTACAGTCAGAACACATGAAGTTTGGCTTACTGTATTTGTGCAGCTGTCATCACCTCAATAGTCAATCAATTTCCTTGCCACCTTTTCCTTACAGTTGTCATGAACTTGATGAACATATTTCCCTACCTCTCTTCATTATTTTGTATAGTACAGTCAGAACACATGAAGTTTGGCTTACTGTATTTGTGCAGCTGTCATCACCTCAATAGTCAATCAATTTCCTTGCCACAGAGCTTTAGCATGTAGTAGTTTCATTAGCTATTCTCACAATGTTTCTTGTATAGATCCACACAGGCCCGGCTCCAGAATCAAATCACCGAGGGTGCTTCTTAAATTAGTGAGGGTGCTCTAACTATATATATATAACTATATACAGTATATGCTGTCAGACGATTAATCGTGTTTAATCGCATCCAAAATAAGTTTTTGTTTACGTAATATATATGACGATTCCGAGGTGTGTTATTTCCGATAACAACCGGTAAACTACACATTAACATACAGATCTTTGCCTGTGTCTGGGAATTTACTAATTACCTCACTAAACTGTTTTTCTTTCAAATTATCAAGGCTCTCTGGAATACTTGATTCTGATAGTCACTGACGATTCCGAGGAGTATTATTCCCCGATAACAACCGGTAAAACACAGGCTCATCCAGGCCTACTACGAGTCATCTTTCGACCGTTAATTATGCCTGTATCACTCCATTGTCGCTGATCACAGTTTCGTGTCTAATTTACTTTTGTGGCAAGCAGCCATGTAATAATCTGCAATAACAACCGGCTGCATATTATCTCAGCTAATATTTGTAGATCCGCTCATCCGGGTACCTGAAACTAGCGCCACTTTAATAAATGTGGGGGATTATTCATTTTGATTTGCTTTGATCTTGCCTACATGAATTTTACACCGTGTCTACACCTGACGCGACAGTTGTCGTGTCGCGCCGCGCCGCAACAGCTAAAGTCTGTCTACACTGGAGCGACAAAGCGACCGTTGAAAATCATTTGAAATTTGTGCCAGTCATAAATAGAACGCAGCAGCAGTACTGTCGGGAATTTGTCGCGCCGCATCCAGTGTAGTAGGTTTTACTGTATTTTGTCGCGTCGCGGTGACACGGTGTTACGCAGCGCGTTCTCTTTCCTATGGACGGAAGGATCACGATTTTGATTGTGCTGTGTGACCACTAGAGTGCAGTGCAGTGTTGGAGTGCTACTGGTGTATCGCTGTTTGCTCTAGCAAAGACATACAGAGTTAATGTTTGTTGAATGTACTGTGATGTCTACTTAAATTATGCTCCTTTTCTAATAAATTGTCAATAAAAGACTTGTTACTTGTGAAGAACTGGTGGTATGACGTACCCTCTGTCCTCCATATAGGTCTGGTAAAACCCCCTCTTAAATAAAAACGAGAGGTTTATTACAATAACTATAAAGATAAATATTAGCGTCCGCTATCGTCTGTTTATTCTCAGCGCATGCTCGTCTAAATTAGAGCTCGTGACCGCAGGATTGATTCTGATTGGCTGTCAATATTTCTATCGTTCATCAACTGGAGAAAAAAAAGTTCTGAAAGTGATTCCAACAATATCGTCTCTCTGTGCCTTTGTCGTTATAGTTGTGGTGTGGACTCTGCTATTCTTTAATATTGAGACTACAAAACTCTGAATATTTTGATTTGTAGATATTTTTGGAAGCTGATTTGAAGTTTTTATCAGCTTGAAAATAAATCTTTTTTTTTCAGTGTTCCAATGCTTGTTTTGTTTGCTTGTTTTTCCCTGAAAAGTCTTTGTATTTGTCTTTATAGAATGTTGCTGTTATGAAATGTGGAAAAAAATGACAATTTATTCCACACAGCAATTTTGAGTGTTTGGACTTAATGTCATTAACAATATGATGCTATAGTGTCCATAATTCACACATCACATGCTAAAGTAATTACAGTAGGAATAACAATCTGTAAACCACTCTTAATAAACAAATTGTGTTAAATGTTTGTATAATACAAGCATTTAATCAACATAAAATTTAAAAATT